GTAGTCTGGTTGATGTTAACCAACGTTTCAGAGGTCATACTGCCTCCGTCATCAGGGTGATTTTAGTGCTTGATTTGGGTTATTAATTCAGTTGCTCTGTTGAAATTTAAAACTTCGTCAGTAATGCAGTTGTGATTTTCATGCGCGAAACAGCTTAATAACCGAGATACTTCAGACAGTTAAGTTATTCAATAACGTTGTTATAAACAAACATTTTATTTCGATTGGGGTCTTTTCTTTGAAAAGTAATTATTTTAGTCTTTACAGAAGAAATTTTCGAAATATACATAATCCTTTTGAAGGTTATGGACATTACTGCTCTTAAAACGTAATCGAATTTAGAATCTTCAGGCAATTCATATCTAACGAAGACTTTAAATGGAATGAGAAGATAAACGTTGCTGGGTGCGAAACCAAAAGATAATGATCGATGCTCATTTTGTAAGCGGATTACGCCTACTGATGCGGCAACTTCTCCGACACATGTGTATAGCAGGCCAGTCAAGTCGAGTGGGGTTTGGGTGTGTTCATAACGAAAGTTTGCTAATATGTGCTTATTACTTCCGCCATTTCTGTTTCCTTTAGCGTGTCTGCATATAACTCTAGAAACGCTGAACGGATTTTCATGGCAAGTTTCGCTAAAAGTTTTGCAACACATTCTAATTTTAATTAATATCGGGCAACAAAGCATCTGAAGCATAAGTCGCCAAATATTAATCAAAACGAGCAGTGTCTTGATGTAATGAGAAATTAAACTCGCAATTTGTACTCAATAAACCTTTTTTCTGTAACAGAGATAACATTATAATTGTTACGTTGTGTATACATTTCCCGTACGTCTATGCAGCAGAGAATGATAACAGATGATTTTCGTTATACGTGGGTGATGCGTTCTTGCTAATCGCTCTTTATATCAAAAACTAATAAAATGGGAAAGGTATAAATACACATGGATTTTCTGAGTGATAGACCATGAGAGGCCTTAATTTGTACGAGTCTATCCAGCTAATATTTTTGCATCTGATTTTATTGCGAGTCATCTAACTGCACTTTGAGATTTTTCCACCCAAGTTAAGTGCGTTCCTTGTTACCACGATGTGGCTCGTCCTCAGATAGCGGGTAGAACGGACTGCTAGATATGAATATGTTGAATAAGAAGCCTCGGACAGATGACAATAGGAGATCCTCCAGATTGGGAGTTGTTGTATGGTAAGCAACAACTCTTATTACAAAGGGCTTGATGGTGATCTTCACCAAACAACAGTAGGGTGGTTAAGTCAAGGGTACCAGGAGCATATTCTAAACTTTGTCTTAATATTGATTATTTTGTAGTAAGATTTTATTTTATTTCCACATCTTTCTTAGGCCTGTGTAAAGATATGCTATTCCAAACGTAAATAAATTACAGCAATAAGCTAAAAGTGGTATTTCCCAACTCAGAGGTTGAGCGCTGGACTAACACTGTCTGATTAGAAAAGGTACTTTGTTACAAATTTCAACGGAATATATTCCCCTGGTGTGTAGTACAGTCTTTTTTAATTGTAAATCTATATAACGAAGTTCTCTTGGGTTACAAGCCATATAAGGTGGTGAAAAGGCGGCAAAACCATCAGTACTCTTGACGACTAGGAGAGAGATGGTTCTCGAAACTTTGTTTTCCCCCCGCCTTTAACCACCTGTCACGGCTGGGAGCCAGAGAAAACTTTACTATATCAAGTCGCTGTGAAAGCTGCCGATCATAGTAGTTTATCACTAAGGAGAAACACTTCTCTAAGTAAAGCAGTACACAAGTGATGTGGGAAGTGTAGATGGGTAATTACAAGAAACAAACTATGAAATACATTACAAATTTTATTACAAAATCTCTCACTTGGCCAGTGCAAGAGACATTTTGGTAGATTTTAATGGCATGTGCTGTGAAGACAATATTGTGCAGTAAGAGGAAGACCAAGGAGATGTTTTAAAGTTGATTTTGAGAACAGAAGATCTGTGTAACTGTGATTTTAAATAATAGTTGACTGGGCGTCGTAAAATAATATAACATACAGAGGACTGACGGGCATGCAGACACGCGTGTCACATTGAGCACCGAGCTCGCAACCACACCTGCTAGAATCGCAAGTCTCGAACACGTGCGAGCTTGCAGGACAACGGACCCTTCAGCCGAGTCTATTCTTACTCGCTGCAGGCGCAGTGGCAACTGTCGGGCGCCTCGTATTAATATTATGAGCGCACTGGAAAGAATTAGATCTTTGAATCGACACCCTCCATCCTGCTACGTTACTAAATCTGCATTTGTGGCTGTCTTCCACTGCTCATATTATCATTCGTTTATGCACAAAGTGCTTGAGTAAATGTGTTTAGGGTAAACGGTACCCGTTCGCCTGTCCTCGTGTTTCAACTCGGAAATTAATAAACGAGATTCGATTACACTTGATTTTGATGGGATTATTTTAATTGTAGTTCACACCAGTCCTATATAACTCCTACATTACTGGAAGCTCATTTCGACGTAATTCGGTTACTAATAATCAGGTATTTTGCATTCGTCATATACTGAAGAAAACATTGGAGTGCTATGAGGCAGTACATCACTATTTACATGCTTCCATAAAACCCATGACTCAGGAGAAATGTACAACTTTCTTGCTCCTTGGTTCTGTAGTCCTTGAAGAACATCGTCCTCCTTACAAGTGAGATTCCTCAATTTGTTTCGACATTTGGTAGGACTCCTTCTACACGGCGGATCAGCCAGACGTAAGGCGTTCATGTATATTCACCAGAATGCTAACAAAATCATAACATAAAAACAGGTAACAACTCTTTCGGAATTATAGCAAAGTAGAAACTTGACGGAAGCAACAAGTTTGGGGGAGAGGCGTACAAGAGAAGTTGATCTGAAAGAAATAAGTTGCTAAGATATGAACTGGAACCATCTGCAAGTGGTGGTTATCTGGGTTGAGGATTGTAGTATTTTTGCTGCGTGCCAAAGTTTCGGACAAAGATAGCGTCTCCCTCTTCAGGACTGTTCCTCTGAAACCCAGAAGACCACCATCTGAATTCACATAATCGAAAACTTTAAATTGTGCGCGGATTCATTTGGAGTCCAGCAGCGGAACTGCGTGAACCTTCGAAATCCATAAAAGGCGTGGGATTTCTTGATTGCTGTAGTACGTATACGTTTCCCTCTTGTTTGCTAACAGACGAAAACACATTCCTGTTTCTTACCTCCGATTTAAAACAGGCGTAAAAGAGAAGAAAACTGCAGGAATGTAAACATCTTTTGCATCAAAGTCCCGGGTTTTATTCCCTGTTCGGTCATTGTGAAATCTATAATGTCTTCTTCACACGTAAGGTAAAATGAAAGCCCTGGCGTGGCACATGTTGCCCTTAGGTTTCAGTTTCCAAATCACTGAAGGCGTTTGAATTTAGTTTGATACTGAAATCTATATTGTTTTAAAAACGTCATTTTGGTCCATACAGAACCATCACCACGTTACTTCAAACAAAAATCTAATATAGTCTTACGAAGTTTCTCCAAATTAACGCCTGTTATGACGTATATAAGCTAAAATCACGAAGCCCATTTTTCCTAATAGGTAATGAAGTTCGCGACAATTATTGCCTTGCACCTAGCAGTTATCTTTCCGAATACAAGCAAATTTTCTTGAATGGTGTAACATAGTTGAATTAACTATGTTCTGAGACAAAAACAGGATAATATACTGGATTTCAACAATTGTAAAAGTTTAATCCTTTTATTAATGGAAAAACAAATGTGTGCTTCGGCTGTCGGGAATGAGCCACGTCAAAAGTGGAAAATCATACATCGTTTCGGCAAACATTGCAGTTGTCATCATCAGAGTAAATATGGTGATTTTGGAAGTAAATTTTTAACATTCGACGTGCCTAATCCCCGAAAGCCCAAGTTTTACGTTGAATTAATGCCGCGACAACATAAGGACAAGAATGACGAATAAACTTTTGCTGAATTTTCCTCACATTATTTATTCTTTTGTACAAAATCTGATGTACAGCATTCAGGAGTAAAGTCGCTGATCAACTAACTGTATCTGCAACGGCGCTGACAACATGGCGACGAACAAAATGTGAATGGGTTCTCTGACGTATTAGTCAGCGGTCTAAATCTGGCAGGAAGTTTGTTGGATCCTCTAAAACACAGGAGACCAAACACAAGGTGTGTATGTGCGCGCTTTCTGGCACAGCTCCACGAGACACGCACGTTTCTCCTCCTCAGAGGTTGACTGCGCAGCCAGGTCTCTCTGCCTGCCTCTGATAATACTCAGTTCTGGCCAGTATGGTGTTGCACGAACAAGCTGTGTTAATTTAAACTTGTTTCTGAATTGTTGTACTGTTATTAAAATGGTAGGATGTAATTTTGTAATAGGTCCTATTATCTGTGAAACCTACTGAATTCTGCAAACAAGATTTCGTGTCTGATCTGCACTGGATTAAGTTTGGGATCTGTATTTTCATTATGGACTGAATTAAGTACCTAAATTTTACTGGGAAGGAATTGATTTATTCTAACAATTATTTCCAGAACAATTTCACAATGTCTCAAAAAGAGTTTGTACCAGCAAAAAATAGAAATCAGGTGAAACAAAACGCGAACAATTCGGTAGTTGAAATACATAAATACTGCAAGTTTAAGAATTTTCTATATAAAATAACATTTGTTCTAATTTTCATCCTGATTGTCATTTTCTTGCTTACTATTTAGTTAAGTTATTTAACTTTTATTTAAAATAAAATTCAGAAACATGCAAATTCATTATTGTAAATCCTAACCATGAAATTGGTGCGTATATGATTCTACAATAGATAAAGAAGTTACCATTACGTGGGTTGAATTGGAAATTAGCTGATAACAGTTTCTTCTATGGGTTGTATTACTATTCAATCTTATTTTACATTTCGACGTATAAAATC